TGTCGTATGGACAGAACATAAAAACCCAGTTACTCGGAGCTGCTTAGAGAGACACGGCGAGCCCTAAAATTCACCACCCGGTGCATGGAAGGACTCCTTTTGGCAAAAAAACCACCTCTGTGCTGGGAGGACCTCTTCATTTCTCACCCGGAGAGGATGCTCGGCTGCATCCCTTCCACAGTCAGTTTCCATAGCAACCTCCACTTCAATGGAGCATTGTCGGGTTTTAAAGGAACAGAAGAGCGGACTTCAAAAAAAGGAGAGAGGCGAACATGCTCGTGTGGGCCTTTCCTCCACCAGTGGCCTCATGTTGTGGAAGTCATTTTTCGTGGACTGCATAAGCTGGACAGCGCCATTCAACTTTCGCTCCGTTTTTGCAAATAGATCGCTTGTGATTTTTTTTTTCTTTCTGAGCAGAAACGTATTAATTAAAATGCCCAGGATCAAAAAAATATGTGACATTCCTTAAAAGGCTCTCGTATTAAAAGAGGTAAAGCTTCCCCTCGCACCTATGTGCTAGTCGTTCCTGACTCTAGGGGGCGGTGTTCATCTCCGTTTCAAAGCCAAAGGGCCAGCGCTGTCCGAAGACATCTCCGTGGTCATGTGGCCGGCATGACTAAACGCCGAAGGCGCACGGAACGCTGTTACCTTCCCACCAAATGTGGTCCCTATTTTCCTACTTGCATTTTTTTTTTTACGTGCTTTCGAACTGCTAGGTTGGCAGAAGCTGGGACAAGTCACGGGAGCTCACTCCGTTACGCAGCACAAGGGATTCGAACTGCCAAACTGTCGACCTTCTGAGCGACAAGCTCAGCATCTTAGCCACTGAGCCACCGCGTCCCTTCTATTAAAACAGGGTGCTAAATGCTCAAGAATGCTCTATTACTGTTAATTTTATACTACGCTGAAGTTTGATTTAGCAAAAACTTGGATAAGTGCCTTATTGCAAATGCAGAGTTGATGAGAACAATAGAAATCCTTTCCAGTTCACCAACACAGTTTTCTAAGGCACTCCGTTTCTCTTGATGTTTGATTTCACAACACCGGTGTGTATCGCCATGTCGTAGCTTTTCCTAGCGTGCATACACAACCACCTCCGATATAAATATAATTGATATAACTCATTCCCACAGAAAGCCCTCCGTTTTAGGGTGCCCTTCCCTGCGGTTTTCCTCAGTTATCTTCGTTGCCCAACACAACTTTTAAATTGCAGAGGCATCATATGGTACCCAATTTTCCTATGGGTGGGTTATTTATTCATTTTTCTTTTGAAGGCGTCTCTCGCGAACCGATTCACACGTGCTATGCTTGGGCATTTTGCTTTTCTTGCCTAAATGTAGAACCTGACTTTTTTTTTTTTTCACCGTTGGAAAATTCAAAAACAACTCCAACTTGAACTAAGACCCAGGTTGGTAGGAGGTAGGTGAAATTGTTCTCTTTTATCTGGAGCTTTGGGCTGTGACTATTAGGAAGCAGCAGGTAAGCTCAAACGCCTTGAGCAAGCGGCTTCTGGAAGTTGCGCCAATGCTCCTTTCTGGGAGCGCGCAAGACCTCAATAAAAGAAGGTCAGCCGCCATCAAAGCGGATTAAACGTCGCTGGATCACAAAAAAAAACACATCTCTTCGCAGGTGGCCTGTGCCTTATTTGAGCCTGGATCTGTCTAACCAGAACAAGCAAATTTCTGAGGTTACCGTCACAGGCCAACTCCGGGAAGTTAACTTAGTTATGTCTCTAAAAACCAGACATAACAATATTGGGACCGGCAGCCCCACTGGGTGAGAAAATGATTGGATGAAGCTCTCGACTGCATGAAAGAACCTCTTATTATTGTTCACTTTGTTAGTTTTGTGGCCTGCCAGCGGAGCTGGTGGCAGATTCGGAGAGTGAGGAAGTTGGGGAGGAACATGGGCCAGTCCTGGAGTCTGGGGAAGGCTCGGATGAGGGCTCTGAGTCAGGGGCAGAGAGGGGGCCAGGGCCGTCTGACAGTTATCAGCTGCCTTCGGAGTCTGAAATCAGTAGGGCAGAAGAACAGCTGGAGCCTGTTCCCAGTGTGCTCATGCACAGAGTTGCCAGATGAAGGGAAGAGCTAATGAACAGGGGTCGACTTAGGAGTAAAGCCACAGGTGGAAGGTGAATGGCCCCTCCCATAGGGAATAAAAGAGGAGCGAAAGGGGAGTGGACTTTGCAGGAGACAATTAGTTCAATTCATTAGGGTGGAGGTCTGTTTCTGACTTCTTGCCGAGGAATTGCTGCTACAGCATGGTGTTTGGAAGATATCGGCCTGGCAGCTCTACAAGCCTGATAAAGGTTTGTAGTTGCGAAATCTCTTGAAAGACTCCGGGCCAGGACTTTGCTGGAGAGGAATTCACTTTAAACTAAATAAAAGGAGGGTTTTTTTTGGGATGAGGAGTCGGCTTCGTGCTTTTGAGAAGCCTAAGTCAGAACAGTTATTTGCCAACTAGAATTCTTTGCCAGGCTCAGCTGAGTCTATCAGGAAATTCAAACAAAACCTTAAACGATCATCCAGAGATTCTCAGCTATTAAGAAGTGTGAGATTTAAAATAATAATAATAATACTGCGGCTTTTTTAGTTCCACAGATTTTGCCTTGTGATAAATTGTTTGATATCTAAAATTAGGTCAAACTATACTATTATACCATCATCACCCTCTGTTAGCTGTCCCAGCCTCTTAGCATCTTCAAGTTAGCCCTACACACACAAACAAACATTGATGCTAAGGAGTTAGATGTTCTACTCCCCTTCCCCATCTGAAAGGAACTCTGTTCCAACTGACAGCTGCCATATATTAACACACTCTGATGCTAAGGAGTTAGACATTCTACTCCCCCGCCCCACTCGAGAAGAACGCTGTTCCAACTGCTAGTTGCCTTATATTAACACGCTCTGATGCTAAGGAGTTCGACATTCTATTCCCCCGCCCCACCTGAAAAGAACTCTGTTCCAACTGCCAGTTGCCGTATATCAAGACGCTCTGATGCTAAGGAGTTAGACATTCTACTCCCCCTCCCCACTGAAAATAACTCTGTTCCAACTGCCAGTTGCAACTGGGTGCTGTTGGAATTAGCTTTAAGTGTCAATTTATCAAGCCCAATCCATAAACTTATCAAGCCCAATAAATAAGAGCTTCCTTCCAACCATCCACCTCCTACATGTTTGGGAAGGTTGAACAAAGAGGGATTGGGTTGGGCTCTTGGTGTGCTCCAAGCTTGGTGATCTTCTTGGGGTTGGATTTTTGTTAACTTGAGCTGTATATGACTGAGACAGCCTTTTCTTGGGAATTACACCGGATAGCCAAATATAATATAACCTGAAATCTAATGAAGTTCTCACCAGTATTTTAGGCAGCATCCAAGGTGTGCCGCAGAATCTATAAATGTTACATTTTTGACTCCTTAGAATAGACTAGGGATAACGGAAAGGACTCTGGAGGTCTTCTAATCCAACCCCCTGCTCAAGCAGGAGAGCCGATACTGCCTTGGTGCTCTTTCTGACTCCTTCAAAACTTTCAGGCATGATGTAATGAAGGATGGAAATGTCTGGGAATCAATGCTCTAAATTTAGAAAGTGTCTGCTCCCAGGCCCTTATTTTGCTGTTTCATGGCCTCTTATTAAAATCACCCTGTCCAGTTTGTCATCCAGTCTCAAAACACTGCTTATCCATCAGACTTTAAAATAAGACTCACTACCTATGAGGCAATCTGCCCAATGTTGTCTTTGAATGACCCCGTAATCCCTTGCATCGGGATGGCGGAGTCGGGGCAACTGAATGGAGCCGAGGGTTTTACTGGCCAGATGCCTTTCTTGTCGCCAGGGCAGATAAATTCTCATTGTGCCCAGAGAGAGAGAAATTTCTGCCACTACCCAGGATCGAACTCACAGCCTCCTGATTGTGAGGCGAGAGCTTTACCTCTATGGCCACCGCACCAGTCATGTGAGGCAATTTGTCCCAGGAACGTTGTTATTTCCTGCTCAAGGTCTCCATTCTACATCGTAACAGAAACCAAGGAACTGCCTTGGGTACAGGAGGGGCAAAACCAGAAAATCTCATTCACTCAGCTACCAAATACAACAACAACAACAACAACAAAATTACAGACATTGGCGCAAAAAAAAAGTAGTTAATACCCAGGAAATACCACCTAGAGCTATGGATTGTACAGATTTACCTGAGTGTAAACAATATAAATTGAGTGACTCTACCTGGCGTGGGATTATATTATAAAATTATGCATCGTGAAAACCAAAGGCTTGAAGTTTGGTTCAAGAAATGGCAAACGCCTGCCGAAGAGAATAAAAATGCAATATTTGGGAGAAGCAAGTTAGGAACCATTAGCTGTGAGTAAGCTGTGAAAGTATAGTAAACAACACTCCGGTAAAACCAGAATAGCCTTGCTGAGTTGGGCCCAAAGTCTATTATAATGTCTCAATCCACATCCAGAGACCAACTGTATTCCAGTGATGTACGAGTCTACCTTGCTTGTAACTGGTTTTTAGGGACTGTGATGAACTTGCAGCGACAGCTTTATCTCCTATGGAAAATATTGCCTTAAAGGTTTTCTTGGAGCATGGTAAGATATATAGAGCAAGAAATCTGTCCAATGTAGACATTTATTTTCTAGAAACGACGTTAGCAAAAGGTGGCTCAGCAGCTGGGAAAGAATATAACTAGGATACACAGCCAAAATGTAGACCGTAATTATTTCTAAACGTCATAATAAAACACCCAAAATGACACAGTATAAATTAATGGGATATTAGATATTATCTCAGCTGCTCCCAATCATCATCCATTAACAACCCCATAATCCCTTGCGGGGTGGAAACTGGGCAACTGAAATGGAGCTAGCAGAGTGTTGAATGGCCAGATGCCTTTCTTGTTGCCAGGGCGGAGTTTTGTTCAGCAGATATATTCCCGTGCCGAGAGAAAGAGAAATACCTGCCTCTACCTAGGATCGAACTCACAGACCCACCGATTGCGAGGCGAGAGCTCCGCCTCTTAGGCCACCGCACCACTCCCTCGGCTGCCCCCAATAGGAGAGGATTAAAAAAACAAAAACAAATTGATTTATGCCAGAAATGCTTCCTCGGGTTTTCTTCACCCGGATTAAAAACAAACAGAATAATATGGGCGTAATATAGAATCGATTTACCTATTGTAATGACGTTCGTGGAAAGGAAGGAGCGGGGATGCACATCTTTTCGGTGCAAGGGGTCGCCCGGTTGTCCCGAATCAGGAAGCATCTTGTCGTCCAAAGTCGTCTCACGTCCCGGGTGACGATTTCGTCCCTCTCGAGCTTTGGGAAATGGATGCATATTTATAGAAGGATCAGTTCTGCACAATTTTTTTTTATGTCACAGTCCTTTGGCCCATATTTCTCCAGTACTTTTTTGATAACAGCTGCCCAAGTCATCAATCCTTTTTCCGATCGGATCTGTAAAAGTCTTTAATAATAATTCAAAGTAAGGAAGGGATTGAAGATTTTCTGCCACCAAGTAAAGTGGCTTTTGTGCAGTTCCTATTCAACCTCTGGATTTAGCTTCTTTCTTCTTTTAGCTTCAGGATCCCAAGAGATCCGATCAGTTAGTGCCTTTGGTCACAATCCGGGTGTCAGGAAAAATACCTGGCGGAGAAGAAAATTCATATCCATATCATCTTTCTAAGCAGGAAACTTTCTGTCGCATTTGTGTTGCATTTGTTTCCCCTGGATGTTCAGAGGCGCAAGGGTTTATTTCTTTAGGAGTTGGTAAATCAGCTGAGGAGGAAAAACAACGTAAGATTAGCACATTTACTTTCTTCTCCAATCCTGTGACATTCAGCAGAAACATGAAAAAAATAATCTGTTTTGATATTTGCAGCAACTAAGATTAAAGACGTGATTCGCTGTCTGTGTATGAAAGATTAGAATAGGATGGAATAGGGTTCAATAGGATACGATAGAATGGAATAGAACAGAAAATAGAAGAGAATACAGAATAGAATAGAATAGAATAAGGAAAGAATAGAATAGAATAGAATATGGAAAGAATAGAATATGGAAAGAATAGAATAGAATAGAATAGGAGTAGAGTAGAAGAGAATATAAAAGAGAAGAGAATACAGAATAGAAAAAATAGAATAGAATAGAATATGGAAAGAATAGAAGAGAAGAGAATATAGAAGAGAATATAGAAGAGAATAGAATACAGAATAGAATAGAATAGAATAGAATATGGAAAGAATAGAAGAGAATATATAATAGAATAGAATAGAATAAGGAATAGAATAGAATAGAGTAGCATAACAGAGTTGGAAGGGACCTTAGAGGTCTTCTAGTCCAACCCCCTGCTCAGGCAAGAAACCCTATACCATTTCAGACAAATAGTTATACACAATTGTAATGTTATCCTGAGAATTTTGGGTCTAACTTTTTTTTCCCCAGCCAAATTTATACGGTGAAGTGATGCAATTCCTTGTCTGGTTATTCAAACTTCCGAACTGGTTTAAGACGGGGGGGGGGGGAACGGGACGTTGAATCAGGATGGATTCAAATCTAATCTTACTCATCCATTCAATCTGGTTCCCTTGACTGGATGACTCAGTGAATTCACTTTTAAAATGATTCATTTCTAAGACTGAATCTGTGAGTTGAGGAGTCCTGTGTTCTTGAAGTCCCTGGAATTTCTGAAGTCCCTGGAATGGGAAGGGGGCTAGTTTGAAATGAAAACCACGATCAATCATTTTCTGCCCTGAATTTGGCTATCCTTCTGCATCCGTGCAAGGATGGTCTATTTTTCAAATGACAAAAATTTCCCTTCCCTCTACTACCTCCCACAAATTTACCATAAATAAAGTTGCTATTATCATCTAAGCAAAATACTTTTTCTTGATTACTCACCAAGCTCTAAATATTCCTTAATATAACTTTTTTTTAAAAGGGGGGGGGGGAGGCAAGATAAATATTACAGGTAGTCCTCGACTTACGACCACAATGTAGCCCAAAATGTTTCCTGCTGAGAAATTTAAGTGAGTTTTGCTCCATTTTCACCACTTTTCTGGCCATGGCTGTTAAATGAATCACTGCAGTTGTTAAGCTAGTCACACGGTTGTTAAGTGAGTCTGGATCCCCCGATGACTTTGATGGCTGCAAAAGATGATCACATGACCCCGGGACGCTGCAACCGTCATAAATGTGAGTCAGTTGCCAAGCGTCTCACTTTTGATCATGGGGACGCTGCAATGGTCGTTAAGTGTGAAAAATAGCAACAGCAATTAAGACTTACATACCGCTTCACAGTGCTTTAATAGCCCCTCTCAAAGCGGTTTATAGAGTCAGCCTCTTTTCCCCCAACAATCGGGGTCCTCATTTCACCGACCTCGGAAGGACGGAAGGCTGAGTCAACCTTGAGCCTGGTGAGATTCGAACTGCCAAAATGCAGGCAGCCGGCAGTCAGCAGAAGAAGCCTGCAGTACTGCACTCTGACCACTGCGCCACCGTGGCTCATGGTTTTAAGTCAACTTTTTCGGCGCTGTTGTAACTTTGGTCAATAAATGAATTGTCATAAGGCGAGGACTAACCGTACGTCTTTGTGGTTAGTACTGCTGCATTTGTTTATTATATTTATATATAGACACACACAGAGAGAGACTGCACCAAATAACCAGACCCTATTAATCAATCGCAATATGTTTTATTTTATTTTTATTCTTTCTCCGGGAGAAAATATTATTGTACTTAACGATCGTTCAAAGGTCATGAGTCACACAAATAAGGAAGCAAAATGCAGGGGAAAAAATGGCAACCGATTTAAACGTTTAATGTCATTTACATAATAAATGGCTGGGCCTGATTTTGGATAACGCCCGTCTTCCCAGAGAAAGCCACACTTGGCACCAAATTTACGGCATAATCGATCAATACATCGATAAATTTTCCTCTTTTTTTTCTGTTTTTAAAAGAACCTCTACAAGCAGGAGAATAGTTTGCTACAGAAGGGAAGCTGGGATACTCTCAAAAGGGGGGGTGACAACAGTTGAGACTTCCCTTAGAAAAGCCACAATTTCCTTGTTAGTGACGCGTTCTTTTAAAAAAAAGAAATTTGGCAAGACATTTGAGCTGGATTAAAAAAGAAAGATATGAAAAAACAACAAGAGTATTGCACAACTGGCACTCCCTTCTGCAAGTTTTATAAGTGCCATTAAAAAAAAAAAACCAGAAGGACACATGAATAAAAATTGCTCTGGTATTCTTCACAGAACACAGAATAACAGGGTTGGAAGGGACCTTGGAGGTCTTCTAGTCCTAACCCCCCCCCCTGCTCAAGCAGGAGGCCCTATATACCATTCCGGACATATGGCTGCCCATCCTCTTCTTAAAAATATATTCTCTTATATCTATATAGCACGGAATACAATAACAGGGTTGGAAGGGACCTTGGAG